TCCTGCTGCCAAAAAGTGTATTGTACCAAAGTGCAAAGAACAAAATGTGCCTTTCACATGTCCACAAATATGTGACTCACAGGTCAGATGTGGACCGCTGGCCATCATTTGAGAGCCAGTTTACTCCAGGATTCCTAATGTGAGTTAGGCTGGAATTAGATCATCAATAAAACCACACGGAAGCAACTAATCATGAATGCGTACTTCAGTTCTGTCTTTGTTCGCTAGTAAGTGTTAGCTTAGCGTTGTGATCGTGGAACTAGCCAGACTTTAACCGTCTGTGAAACAGACCCTGTAAAAATCAATGATACTCAAAGTCTCCTCAAATCTACTCCGTTCTCCTCCTTCTCCCTGCCAATAAAAAGCAATGATACTCCGTTCTCCTCCTTCTCCCTGCCATCCTCCATCTAACATTTCATCTGTGATTTTCTTTTTTTTTTTTTCGTTCAGGATTCCCCTTCATCCGTCTGGAAGCCCCCCTGAACAACATCACCACCTCTCTGGGCCACACGGCCGAGCTCTTCTGCCGGGTTTCTGGAAACCCACCTCCCACCGTGCGCTGGCTGAAGAACGACGCTCCTGTGGTCCAGGAGCCACGCCGCGTCTCCTACAGGACCACGACGTACGGATCTCGACTGCGGATCCGCAACCTGGACACAACGGACACGGGCTACTTCCAGTGTGTGGCCACTAACATGAAGGGCACCGTGTCCACCACCGGAGTTCTGTTTGTCAAGTTTGGTAAGAGGACTTTCCTGCTGGAGTCACAGCAGTGATTCTTGCTCAGTACCCAATGGGAACAGTTTGGTACCGATATTGTTTTTCCGGTTGTAAAAACATCCTCGTCTTCTTTTCCAGATCCTCTTCCCACACCTCTGTCAGGAAAGCCAACGTAAGTCTCTCTTCTCTTTACGGTTTTTGTCTTACTGTTGCCTTCTGCCTGCTGTTCCTACTCACACTAGTACTGTTTACATGGACCTGGATTACAAACAGTTCCTGCTTCCCAGCCATAACGACTGTTAAAGTAAAGATCTGGGTCTGACGTGGAGCTCAGAGTTTCACTAGGAAGGAAATTGATATCAATTCCTAATATCTATTAAATGAAGATTTTCTGGTTCAGGTTTTGGTTCTGAGAAACATCGGTTCTCACGGTGGAGTTTGTTGGCGTGTTAATATTCTGCTGATACGTTCTGACAACTGCGGCCTGTTACCTGCAATTTTCCATTCCATTTCTCCTGAACTAAATGTGGCCAAATGACTGTTAAACACTGGTCTTTAATTGCTCGCACGTTGTTTCACTGCCGTTTCTGTCCGACCATCACGGCTCACATGGTTCACATTTGCATATGCACTTTGTAGGCTTGGAATGCAGACCATGTGGACTGCTGGGCAGAAGCAGATGTTGACTGCTGCAGCACACTGAGCTCTGTGGTGTCCTGAAAGCCCAGATCCTCAGCTGGTTGTGCTGGTGGAGTGAGGTTCATTTACTCTGGGCAGAAAATAGGACGTGACTCAACAGGCTGACACATTCAAACCCTCTGACGTTCGTTTAATTCCCGGCCAATAATGAGGTTGTTGGAGCTGACAGTCTGGGCCTTGTGTCCGTTCGGGGGATTAGTTGATGAACCAGAGCTAACTCCGAGGGTCCTCACATCTGTTTGTGTGGTTGCTGTTTTACAACTTTAATAGTTGCCCAATTAGCCGCCAGTTGTCTAAACCTCCAGTAAAACCAACCCAGGTCCTGATCTCTGAGGTTGGGACGAAGCCGGATGTGTGTGTGTGTGTGTGTGTGGTGTGTTTTAGCTGCTGCACAAATGTGCTGCATTTTGGCTATTATCAGTGTGGTGATACACTTCAACGTAAAGATTCTCTGCCTGATATATTAATTTTTTTTTGTTAAAAAAAGTTACTAAAGAATTTGATGTCTGTAAGACACAATACTGTTCATTTGAGGTGAGAGAAAAATTTACCACTGGGTAAAAATTATATATTTTATATTTGATATATATATTACATATACACATATATGCTAAACATATATATTTATGCTTATATGTATGTGTATATGCAAATGTATATATAAATATATACAGTACATGTATGTACTGTATATGTATATATATATGTATATATTTTCCATGACCAACTCTTGCTGAGCTGCAGCTTTAATACATTACATATGTTCTTTTTCTTTCTTTTTTTTTTCACCTGTCATTTTGTAAATGGAAGCGTTGAAGACCAGGTTGTAATCCTAAGTCTTATCAAAGACCTAATTACAGACTACATTCACAAACACAGGGGTCTGCTGTGACGGCAGAGTGGCGGTGGGCCGATTGTCACTGCTGCTCATCATTAGTGTCACAGCTAAAATACTACCTGTGTTTAAAAGGTGAAAAACGTCAGGAAGACAAGGTCACCTAATGATGACACACGGCGACCTTGTGGCTGCTTACCTCACAGCGCAGCTGTTCAAACGTCAAAACCGCTGCTCCTCAAAGTCCCGAGGTCATGTGGTGCAGAGGATTCCCCGTTTAAATCAAACTAATTATTTATTTGCATGGAATTCCCTCCAGTGGCTGCGGGGCTTTTCGTGAGATAAATTAGCCACAAATATTGCTCGCAAATTTGAGGAAACATTTCTCACCACCCACCGTGTTGAACCTGAACATACCATGAGCTTCATAGCCTTTATTTGTCTTTACTTCAGTCTGTATTTTCCGTCGCCTCCACGCTGGCCTTAAGTATACACACTGCGGTATGCGGGGCACTACACACAGTACGTGTGTGTTCGTGTCCTCAGAGTTGGCTTTTTCAGAGTGACCACAGGAAAACTCAAACCCAAAATCCTTGAGGTTTTTACTACAAGCCTGGCGGGGTTTTTTTGTCCAATATTGCAGTACGTGTTTAAAAAAAAGAGAGAAATATGAATAAGGGGACATGAGGACAGTTGAAGTGGATTGAGACATCTTTGTTTTTCTCCTAGAAGAACTCAGAGAACAAACTTTTTTTTTCATTAAATCTGTCCACATTTTTCCCTTGGAGGGCCAGAGCTGAGACCTCTACGTGGGCTGCGGGCCAAAAGACCTGTAGCACACTTTTTATCCCAATACAAAATTCCTCTTTTTCCTAATTTAATATAAGGATAGCGTAGTCAGGAATTTCCTGAATTATAAATTGATGATATACATTTAATCCCTCCAGTCATTTTTAATGGACCACAGGACGTATATGGTTCCAATATATGTCTAGATTAGGTTTATTTATTTAATCATTTTTGCTCCTTATTTTTCTTTTGAAACATTTATGTCTGAAAATGTTTACATTCTAAAATAGAACCAGTTTCCTGGCAGTAATGAAACACAAAGGATGTAGCGCTACCACTAAAAAGTAAAGAAGGCTGAGCGAGCTAAGGGCTAATCCTGGTTAGCTTAGCTGATCCTCAGAGCAGCCTATGTCTTAGTGTAAATAATGATATATTTTCTGTCAGGAAACATATTATTATACTTTTCTAAGTTAAGATTAGAAGTGTTTAGGATTTTTCTTTTCAAAATAGCAGAATTGTGTCGACATAAATCAATTTGTGCTACATTTAGCCCACTGGAGCTAACCATCAGTGATTGATCTCATTAGCCCAGGTGACTCCTAGAACTACATCCATATAAAATTATAATTTTCTGCTCCAGAACTTATCTCATGTGTCAACCCATTACAACTAGGTTCTGGGTTCACAGCACCACCTACAGGAGAGGGAGAAAAACACACTGTTTTTGAAAATTCTAACTTCAAAATTCCTAGTTTACCATGGGCCCTGCTGTAGTCGGCCATGATGTAAACAAGTCAGATCTTGAGCCTTTTCTTTGTTTTGTTTATAGTTTGCAGTAGCATATGGTCAGACCTTACATCAGCTCTGTGTCCTAAATCGGAAAGATTTACTGCTCTTTTTACACACATGCTCTCATCCTCGTCTACATTCTCCTCCTTCTTCCTTTTCCCTCATCTTTCACCTCCTCCTCCTCCTGTTTGGAGATGTTTTCATAGAGCCAGAACAAACACAGGGTGAGGGGGGAAAGTGTTGCCTGCCAAAATTAGACCCCCAACTTTCAGTGTCTCTCTTACTCTCTCCCTCCCTGCACGCTGCCACACTTCCTTGGTCTGCAAAAAAAAAAAAAAAGCATAGTGAAAGCAGTAGGAGGGCGACAGGGAGTGAAAGAAAAACAGTTTTAGCAGAGTAGGAGGAGGATGGCACCATTAACACCCTGGGTTGCATGTTGTTTCTTTGATTCAGAGGTTGCACGGGGTCAGCAGCGTTCAGGTGTGATTGGCTGTTCAAGTAGACGTGAGGTTTGGGTTGTGAGCTGAAATCAAAGTCACTTCATAAATCATAACACTCACACACTGTCCACGAGGCAGAGCAGTGGATCCCTAATGCAGGCACACCCTGTTTTCTTAAACTCTGGATTGTCTTCTCTTCTTTTTATTAGGTAAAATATTTGGAATTTGAATCTGATTTGGCTGAAAAGTGGACCTAGAAATGTCATTTGTGAATCCAAGAATGGATTTGTTCAAATTCAATAAATTCAACAAAGTGGACTTGCTTGCCAACAGCAAAACACAAAGAAAGGGACCCCCTCTTGTCCTGAAGGAATATACGTAAATTTGCTGCCGTGCTGCGACAAAGCCGCCATCTGCTGGAGTGTGCACTAACTACCTCACACTGTTCAAGTCTTGTTTAAATATTATTTTAACTCAGGATGGAAAGTGACAGCCCCATTGTTTAGGTTTAGTTTTTCCAAAACCAAATCAAGTAAGAAATTCCAGTCGTCTATATGAATCAAAGGAACACACGATGACATCTTTAAAATCTATCAGTGATGTGTTTCAACGTTCCTCTGAATCCGACCTGCGCAGCATCAAATCCTTGGCAAATGTCAGATCTCAGTGCAGAATTGGTAACTGTGTTCTTGGAGACCAAAAACAGACCCTAAAGAGAATCAATCCTGGACATAAAATTAGGTAAAGAGTCCAGAGACATGACTACAGATCTGTGTATAATGATTTTTGCTGATCCAAGGTAACCAAAATGTCACTTTTTACTGCTTGAACTAAAGTTTCTCCAACAGTTTCTCTCAGAAATTCTGGCAAAACAGCTGCTTTTTGAATTTCTTGAAAATGTCCTCTTTAATGATGCTAAAGCGTTTAATCTGACAGCGGCGATAAAGAGACTTTATGCAACATGGCTGCCGATCCTGGAGTTGCTGTCTGTGTTTATAGTAGAGGGGTTTTCTCCCTGTTTGAAAAGATTAATACCACTACACCCTGGCTGTCAAGGCTGTTTAAGTTTCTCCGAAGTTTCCCCACCACTTTTCTTTCAGCACGGGGAGAAAAAAGAGCAATTACAAAAATAGTTGGGTTTTTTCCCCCCCTCCGCTGTGCCTCTCTCCTCTCTCTCTCCTCTGTCCACCGTGGCCAGAACAATAAAGTAAAGACATATTTAACAAAGAACAGATCCTCTTAGGCCTGGACTTTTCTCTCTCATTTATGACCATTTTAAATAAAACCACTTTTGACAGCAGAAAAGAAAAGAAAGATCACACTTTGAACAGATATTTATATTTCTACAATAAAAAACCCTCTGAATTTCTTATCAATACGATGACTCATGATCTTCTGTTTTTTTGTGTGCACATATAGGGCACATGGCCCTATATATATGTATATACATATATACCTATGTATATATGTATGTATATATTTATATATATACATACATAAGGTATGCTGGAATCACCATAAACCATAGGTCTGGTACGTGGAAGTGAAGCCATTGAAGGGAAACCACCTTCAGGAAACAATCTTTTGTATTGTAAAAAATATATTTTTTCAGTGTGTTTG